GTCACTAGGGAGAAGAGGAGAATAAAAAACAGGGTCACATTAACAGCAACGACCTCATTAGGCTGGGGGAAAAATGGAGTTTACATAGCTTGGTTTTTCCAAGCAATCAGTCCACTTTGATCCAAAGAAACAAAAATATATATACCTCAGAACCAAGCAAATGGCATTAACGAATAAATATCAGTGATAAAATACTATTTTGGTTATGTAGGTAGAATATGATTCATTTTAATCTAGGTATAAGTAACTTTCACTCTTGGAGTGAATTACCATTTGATTTTATAATTTGTTTTTCTAGTTTTTCATAATAAACTCAGAGAACAAAAAAGTCAGATCTAAGAAAGAGAGTAGCACACTTGGGAATTGATATTAGGCATTAACTTCTAAATAATTTCTAAACTCAGCTATGTTTCTAAGTTTTTCTTCATGAAGACACTTTGTAAGCATTCCTGGCCCAGTGATAAAACAACTGTACTAAAATTTGCTAGGCTGTGACTTAAAATATACTTTCTTATGATTCATAATATCTGCAAAATTTTATTTCTTAAGGTATATTGTTTTTTGATTCGAGAATAATATTCTCAATAAATTAAAATTTTGGCACATAAAATAAAATCTAGTAATTACATTTTATGAAAGTACTAAAGAATCTAAAGTTTCCCCACCAGATTTTACTTGCAATGTTTTAACATATGGAAAATATCATCAGCTATATTGGTCAATGTCCTTTCTATTAAGTCTAATGACATAAATTTCTCTCAGAACCGAGAGCTTGGAAAAAAAGAACTGCTATGATTTTTTTCATTACATATTTAGAATTACATAATTCACCATGTTTCCCTCTTTGCTGTGGCTTCTAGGCAAGCTCAGAGCTAAAATTTCCACTTAACTGTTATATTTTTTCTTCAGTATACATTTTCTAGGGTGGTTAATATAATTTATTGCCTAATTACTATTTTCAGTTATTCTAAGTGTATGTTTATTATAAAATGCTGCTTTAGATCCTTTTGGTAATAGCTGGCATATAAAAAAATTAAAATGTTTTCACCAGAAAAATGCTACCAAAGACCAAAAGCCATGCATATAGGTATAGCAAGAATGTTCAGACTATATATATTGTTAAATTCCCCCTTGAAGTAATCTTTAAAGAACGGTAGCCAATGTTCAGTCCCCTGAATGCAGGTACATACTCAGTTTATAAATGAAGATTTTTATCTTGGGCCAAAATTCGCAAATGCATGGAAAATAAGGAAATGCAATTGAGATACAATTTTTAAAATTAAAATTGTCCTATCCATATCTTTTTAGGAAAAGTTTTTTCTAAATAGAAGAGAATTATTACAAATTCTACATTTAGGAATCAGTGTTAGATTCAGCTCTTAACGTGAATCAGTATGGCAAAATCAAGATAATTTGTCTATTTATTATGTAAAAATTGTTCATATTAGATTTATGATTCTCGGTGTGGGGGATTAAGAAAGGCATTTAGATGCCAATGTTTTGCAAAAGCCATTGTACTATATGCAAATGCTAAATTTAATATATTTTTTAGATCTGGCTGATGACCTTCTGCAAGGTTGCTGCATGTAATTTGCATGATACTGATGGTGACACACAATGGCTGCTCGTTACCCTAGGTGTCTGAATGTCTCTACTGCAACAGGTCACATAGTGGTCCTAAAATGGAGATGCCCCCTCTGGGGAGGATCACAAAGGTTCTATGCAACAATCTCTACAGTATTCACACATACCACTCACTGTGGCACAAACGGAAAACATCAAGCTATCTCTAAATGGTTCAGGGCCCTAAAAGGACAAGTAAGGGATCAAGAAACCTATGTTCCATTTTTCTTCTAATTCAACAGGATACACAATAGAAATTCGCTCATTATATCACAGTTCAAAAGCAAAACAAGAATTACATGTAGAACTTTCATGTTAGAAGCAGTTAAGATTACATTTAGAAATGTTCTAATTAAAATATGATCGAATCAATTAAATCATTCTCCAAAATAATTTCAATAAGAAAGACCTGGTAAATAAGGAATATTCGACAGTGAGGTTACAAATATCTACAAGTCTTGATTTCTACTGATCTGAATGCTTTTTCTTAAACACATGACCTTAGGTAGATACCAGACTGAACATCTTGTATGATGGAGATAAAATTTAACGTGCATGTTAGCAAATTTAAGTATCACAACATAATATATCCTGCCATTCAAAATCAAAGTACTATAACAAAAATACGACATACACATAAAACGATTAGCTAACTGAACCAAATTAAATGAGGAAAATAGTTCATTGTCCTTGGTGCATTTCTATATCTTATCATTGTTCCTTAAAACAGAAATTATTAGCATAACAATTAACTTATAATATTATAAAACAAATTCACCAAAAGGGAGTTCCTAGTTGGAATGATTCACCTTAAGGTTGGCAACTATACTTTATAATAATGATTTTCTAATCAGCATGCAATGTACTACATATTTGGAAGAAGTCAAAAATAGACTTTAAGGAAACTGTACTCATTTAATAATCTGATGGAAGAGAAGCAGTATACGAAGCCAAAGTATTCAAAATAGATATTTCACTGTTCTTTTGGCTAAGTATTTCAAAAAGTCCTTTTTACAAAATGGCCTCCATTGCTAAACTAGAATAGCTACACATTAACTGAAAATGAAATCTCTCTGAAATTAAAATTTTTAACATTATACAATCCAACATTTCATATATATGTTTGTTCTGCATCAAACTACAACAGGGTGATTTGAAAAAGATCTTTGATTTTGAAAATGATATGCCTACTTTGCTTTCTTGAAATTTATCAATGAATTTAGAACTTAAAAGGTATTATACATTAGATTATTTAGACCACAACCATAAAGAGATATATTTTGAAAATTTAAGACCTACCTGAAATATCCTCAATAAACAACCAAAGATAAATAAAAATTATGAGCATTTTGGTACACATGATTTTTTAAAATATAGCTTATTGCTAAAAGTTTTTAAAATTGTATTCTCTCAGAGCAACTAAGTACAACATACACAAAATTATTTTCCTTTTGACCAAGAATGCATTTAGCCTGTTTCCATTGCTTACTGGCATTCCCTTGACAGCAATTCCAATTAGTAAAACGTTCCAAGAAAGACACGAAATATGAGCAACATAATCCTAAACTACAGTATTTGAGGAGGTCATAGAGTCCTCATACTTAATGTTTCAACAGAAAGAAATTCAATTAATAACCTTATTGTACTATCCCGTGGCTTTATTATACGTAATACTACTAAAATTTCCCTTTTGTTATGATTGGATGAACCGCACCCTACATGGCAGATACGACACATGCAAAATCACAAAGGTTTCCTCTAAATTTGGCCTCCACTTGTATCAGCTTCCCATAACAGCCCCCAAATAATAGGAAGTTATGTAAATTACTGTATTTTATTTTACCCATTAGACAATTCTACTACGCAAACAAATCCTACACTGACTCGGAACCCATATCTCTTGTCATGGGAAAACAATGGTAAGGTTTAACATCATATTTGATGGAGAATATAAACTAGGAAATATTCCTGACAAATTGTATGGCTAAAAGTCAAAACACCAGCATATATTTCATAAAGGCTCTAATGAGGTTGGTGGCAAAAATATAATACACGATGATTTAACAGGAACCACCTGAGTATTCTGTGGTGGCAACTACAATGACTACATTTTTAGGTAGCAAACCACCATAAAACAAGTTGAAAATAATTGTACTGTAAATGTATATCATTGACAACAAAAGCTGTGCTGAGTGTATTCATATTGCATCAGTCATTCTCTGAAAGTAGAAGACAACTCAAGGTCAAATGAAAAATAACCAGTAACTCCTATTCTTTGCCTTACTACCTCCCGCTGTCCACTCAAAAAATTAACATCTTACTTAATTAGTACTGTGTTTACATTTAGATAATTACAAAATTGTTGAAAGACATAGTGTAACAGAAGGTTTGATCTGTTTGAAAACTGTATTATTTGGAGAGGAAGGGTAACTAGAAGAAGAAGGTTGTGTGGTGTGGTTAGTGTGGTTAGTATGGCTAGATTTCAATGGAAAAAGAGGTATTTAGACCTAGTATACAATATGGTTTTATTAGAAAAGAACATTATCTTTTTATTGTTATCAATTGCTCTTAAATTTTTCTTTAATACAATTTCACAGCAATCTCAAGAGGATACACTAAAGGCCCTTGATTATATATATTCTAAAGAACGTATTGTATCACAAAGATACACATCCAATAAGATTTCTTTTTTCATCTGAAATTCATAAAGATAATTTTCCATGCTGACAGTGCACATTTCATCCACAAGTTTGAGGAGTCAAATGCTACCACAGCTGGGGGTTATTCTGCCAAATGGCTTCCAACAGGGACTACAGAGACGTGGGCTGGGAGGCATGTGTGTGTGCAGGAAAAAGAAACAGACCTGATGGGAAATAGCCCTTCTCTGGAGTCATTTTTATCAATTACCATCTGAGTGATCTAATCAAATATAGGCTAATGAAAACAGCAACACTAGGAAGGAAAAGCAAATATTAAAACAGCTGCTTGATTACCTACAGAGATTAAAACAAAAAGCAAGGAGTGATGCTAATATATTTCATAAGGATTTGCTAAGGCTGAAGGGAGGGGTAAGGGGCAGATACCTTAAAAAAATCCATCATGAAAGGAACTGAGACAAGATTATAAAAAAAGGGGGCCAAGTTATAGCGCGCCATGGGATTTTTAATCTGGCTACCTGTGGTTTCTGTAGTTAAGGCTTTATTCATCCCAAAACTCGGGGTTGGGGGGGGAGAAAAACAAAAAAAAAAACCACATTTAATATGTCAGATTTGCAAATGATCAAACAGCGTGCATCAACAAGAATAATAAGAAAACATTAAACGCTGATGACTTTTTAAAAACAGATACCCGTTTTATCAAATATTATTGATAATTACCTGTGCATCTCGTTTCTTGAACTCCTGAATTTGATTTTCGTGCTCCATATTGGCAGCGCGAAGCTGTTTTTCCAGGTTTTCAATTTCCCGTTCATGGTCTCGGACTAGGCTATCCTTCTCTGCGTTATGCTGCTGTAATAGGTGCGTCTTCTCCTGTTCATGCTCCAGCTTCAGCTCTACTATCTGATTGGACAATGAGGAGGACAGTTCATCAACAGAACATCCTTGTCGTCATGACAACTCATGTACAGCTTAATTTTTCTCTAATTTGTCCAAGTTGAAAATTTTTATTTTTGCATCATTATTACCTCACCCTTGAAATACTCTCATTTGTGGGGGTGGTAGTTATACAAACCTCCTAATATTCAAAATAGTTGGGCATATTCAGTAAATCCTTCTGCAATCTGTTGACACAAATGTCCGAACATTGAAAAAAAATATCTTGAATGCTAGTCACTTCCTCCCCAAGAATTCGGGTATTTCTGATCAGCAATGGTTATAAATGGTTAATAGTCAGTACGCTTTGCTTTTGGCTTAAATATACACATGTGAAAAGCAGCAATTAAATCGGTCAGTTTTCTTCATGATTTACAAATAAAAGATCGGAGCTAAATACGCATCTGGATTATTGTATATACAGTTGTCTTTTTAAAAATAAAATGATAAATTTCAAAGCTCTATTATCTCGTTGTCAGCTACGGTATACCAACATAAACAGATGTTATGTGTTCCAGAAGGGCACCTGCTGTGCTGCAAGCTTGCACCATGATTTCATAAAGAGCATTCTATTCTCAGAATCCTTTCCCAGTCCACTCCACACTGGAGACTGTGACCTTGGCCAGTCTTAGCCTCTCCCTGTTAGACTGAATGGCAGCCCGAGACCAAGGGCCTGGTTGCCGCAGCTTTGATACTAATCCTCCCAGACTGTGCACAATGGCACCCTACCTGGCCTGCAAACTATAGCCAGCCAGGCTGTCTTTGAAGCAGGTGATGAATAGGGGACGGCAGGAAGCCAGCTTCCCCAGTGAACTCCAGGCCACACAGCTGCTAAGAACAGTCACTTGGATTTTTCTTCAGTTTTGGTGGATTTCAGGGGGAAAACTGCTGTTATCTAGAATATGTTGTGTTATTTTCGGCGTGAGAATCCATCTTCAAAAAAGCTAACAGTAGAAGTCTGCTCCAAATCGATCTTGTTTCGTGCAGTGAATCACCAGACTACCTTATCTTAAAGCTATAGCATTCATTTCTCCAGGCATGCACACTGTACAAAATTTGAGAAGTTTTCTTTTTAAATTCATAATTCTTATCTCCTTATTACAAATCAAGAATCAAAATACAAATAAAATTTGCTTTAAGACACAGGTTTCAAAATGTTTTCTTATTGTGATTAAAGAGGTGCTGGTACCATTCCTTCTAAAACTATTCTAAACAATAGAAAAAGAGGGACTCCCCCCAACTCATTTCATGAGACCAGCATCATTCTGATACCAAAACCTGTCAGAGACACAACAAAAAAAAGAAAATTTCATCCCAATATCCCTGATGAACATCGACACAAAAATCCTCAATAAAACACTGGCAAACCGAAACCAGCAGCACATCAAAAAACTTATCCACCATGATCAAATCGGCTTCATTCCTGGAATGCGAGCCTGGTTCAACATATGCAAATCAATAAACGCAATCCATCACATAAACAGAACCAAAGACAAAAACCACTTGATTATCTCAATAGATGCAGAAAAGGCCTTCAATAAAATTCAACACCACTTCACCCTAAAAACTCACAATAAACTAGATATTGATGGAACATATCTCAAAATCATAACAGCTATTTATGACAATCCCAAAACCAATATCATACTGAATGGGCAAAAGCTGGAAACATTTCCTTTGAAAACTGGCACAAGACAAGGATGCCTTCTCTCATCATACCTATTCAACATGGTATTGGAAGTTCTGGCCAGGGTAATCAGGCAAGAGAAAAAAATAACAGGTATTCTAATAGGAAAAGAAAAAGTCAAATTGTCTCTGTTTGCAGATATCATGATTCTATATTTAGAAAACCCCATCGTCTCAGCCCAAAATCTCCTTAAGCTGATAAGCAATTTCAGCAAAGTCTCAGAATACAAAATCAATGTGCAGAAATCACAAGCATTGCTATGCACCAATAATAGACAAACAGGGCCAAATCATGAGTGAACTCCCAACCACAATTGCTACAAAGAGAATAAAATACCTAAGAATACAACTTACAAGGGATGTGAAGAACCTCTTCAAGGAGAACTACAAACCATTGCTCATGGAAATAATAGAGGACACAAATGGAAAAACATTCCATGCTCATGGATAGGAAGAAACAATATCATGAAAATGACCATACTGTCCAAAGTAATTTATAGATTCAATGCTATCCCCATCAAGCTACCATTGACTTTCTTCACCAAATTAGAAAAAACTACTTTAAATTTCATATGGAACCAAGAAGAGCCCATATAGCCAAGACAATCCTAAGCAAAAAGAACAAAGTTGGAGGCATCATGCTACCTGACTTCAAACTATACTACAAGGCTACAGTAAATAAAACAGCATGGTATTGGTACCAAAACAGATATATAGACCAATGGAACAGAACAGAGGCCTCATAAATAACATTACACATCTACAACTATCTGATCTTTGACAAACCCAACAAAAACAAGCAATGGGAGAAAGGGTTCCCTATTTAACAAATGGTGTGGGGAAAACTGGCCAGCCATATAAAGAAAACTGAAACTGGACCCCTTCCTTACACCTCATGCAAAAATTAACTCAAGATGGATTAAAGAGTTAAACATAAGACCTAAAACCATAAAAACCCTAGAAGAAAACCTGGGCAATATCATTCAGGGCATAGGCATGGGCAAAGACTTTATGACTAAAACACCAAAAGCAATGGCAACAAAAGCAAAAATTGACAAATGAAATCGAATTAAACTAACGAGCTTCTACATAGCAAAATAAACTATCATCAGAGCAAACAGGCAACCTACAGAAATGGGAGAAAATGTTTGCAATCTGTCCATCTGACAAACGACTAATATCCAGAATCTACAAGGAAGTTAAACAAATTTACAAGAAAAAAACACACAACCCCATCAAGAAGTGGGCAAAGGAAATGAAAAGACACTTCTCTAAATGTGGCCAACAAACATATGAAAAAAAAGCTCATCATCACTGGTCATTAGAGAAATGCAAATTAAAACCACAATGAGATACCATCTCATGCCAGTTAGAATAGTGATCATTAAAAAGTCAGGAAATAACAGATGCTGGAGAGGATGTGAAGAAATCGCTTTTACACTGTTGGTGGGAGTGTAAATTAGTTCAACCATTGTGGAAGACAGTGTTGTGATTCCTCAAGGATCTACAACCAGAAGCACCATTTGGCCCAGCAATCCCATTACTGAGTATATGCCCAAAGGATTATAAATCATTCTACTATAAAGACACATCCACACATATGTTTACTGCAGCATTATTCACAATAGCAAAGGCTTGGAGCTAATCCAAATGTCCATCAATGATAGGCTGGATAAAGAAAATGTGGCACATATACACCATGGAATACCATGCAGCCATAAAAAAGAATGAGTTTATGTCCTTTGCAGGGACATGGATGAAGCTGGAAACCATCATTCTTAGCAAACTAACACAGGAGCAGAAAACCCAAGCACTGCATATTCTCACTTATAAGTGGGAGTTGAACAATGAAAACACATGGACACAGGGAGGGGAACATCACGAACAATGAGAACAGATGGACACAGGGAGGGGAACATCACACACCAGGACCTGTTGGTGGGTGAGGTGGAGGAGAGAGAGCATTAGGAGAAATACCTAGCATAGATGATGGGTTGATGGATGCAGCAAACCACCACGGCATGAGTATACCTGTGTAACAAACCTGCACATTCTGCACATGTAGCCCGGAACTTAAAGTATAATTTTAAAAAAGGAGTTGGAAAATCAATAATTTCTAATCATAATGTATTACTATTTAGAAGAAAGAAAAGTATGCAAACTCTTAAACATATACACTTATAACAATAAAACAATGTATAAATAGTAAGGAAAAATGTATTTTGCATCTGAGAACAGTGAGGTGTTACAGTGAATTTATATTTATTTAAAATTTAAGTGTTTTCCCTATATTATTCTACTATTGGCAATATGCAGAAAAAATAGTATTAACATTTTATCCTAATAGATACTATACAGTGTAAAAAAGTTTTGATTATTCAAAATAAATGTGTATGCTTTGTTCTGTGTCTCATACAACTATGATAATCCCAACAAAAGAGAGTTATGCTTTTGCCATTGCTGTTATGACATTTTGCTCAGGAAGCTGAGTGAATGAATTACTGAGCTGGAATATTTTTATTTCTTGTACACATTATTCCCACTCAACACTATACCACCAGACAATTATAATAAAATTATAAACTTTAATCAAAATCATTTAAGTATGTAACACACTGAAGGGAAATAGGAGGTAGAAAGTTCTGTTGAGATCTTCTTGAAAGCCTCAGAAACACTGGGAGAAGGAATGTGACTTAAAATTGATTAAAAGCAAAATATTTTACAATATTCTAGAATGAGAAAAGTAACCAAATGGGCTACAATTGGGGTAAAAAAATTGCAGCATTTTCTCCCAACAAAAATCACATGACTAGAACTGGCTGTGAGATCATTAGTAATGATACTTCCTTGTTCTGAGCTCTAGTAATAACGCACTTTCACAGGAACTTTCTAAACGGAGATGTCTTAAGAGTTCCTATAGATTGATCACAGATTATACCCACGTTCAAATTTCACTTTATTCATTTTTTTAAAATCAGAAAAAAAAAATGAAATAGTGATCATCACATTTGAAGCCTAAACATAAATAGTCATAAATGATTATTAGTTTGATATTTTGTCAGGTCCTATTGCTCAGTGATTTTACTTAATGAACAAATCTCAAGATTGCCAAGCCTTTTAAATATCATTTACTTATACCTCTTCTGCTTGGGTAGAGAATAATGAGGATAATTTTCCATTTAAAGTGCAATAGCTCAGGCTTGTCTGCTAAGCCCAATACTACGTGGCTAACTTCTCGATGTCATGAGCTCTTTTTGGTCTTTTCCTAGGCTTCCTCACTG